TTCCTTCCTTCCTTCCTTCCTTCCTTCCTCCCTCCCTCCCTTCCTCCCTCCTTTCCTTTCTCTTTCCCTCCCTCCTCCTCTCTCTTCCTTCATTCCTTCCCCTCTCTATTCTATCTTCCCCTCCTTCCTTTTTTTCCTTTCTTGTTTGTTATTATTTGCTTGCTGTTTTTCACTCTATGGACTGTGTTCTAGGCAGAACTGTTCTAGAGGTAGAGATGGAGCTGAGCATTTGCTCAGTTGGTAGAGTGCTTGCCTACCACGCACAGTGTCCTAGGTAAACTTAGCATGGTGGTGCTTTCTGTAATCCCAGCACTCAGGACATGTAAGAGGATCAGATATTCAAGGTCACCTTCAAGTACATAACAAGAGTCTGAGCTCCACAAGAGTCGGTCTCAAGGGGGTGGGTAGCAGAGTCCTGGGCAAGGCAGAGAAGCCACACTCTACTCTGGGCTTCTTAGAGTCCCAGGCTTTCTTCGGCCCACCAGTGGCTTGCTGCATGTTATACCGTGTGAAGTTTCAGAACTTTGGTATGGCTCCTTATAAACATTCAAGACATGGGGTGGGCCAGGCCATCTGAAACCCTCATGGTTCTCTCAGGGGTAAAAGAGGTGTCTCCTAGAAAACACTAGTATATTACATTGTGCCAAGAAAATTGATAATTAATAAAATACTAAAATGACTATTTGGTCCTCTTTGAACCTATATTTTGTCTCAGGTTCCTTCAGACTCACCTATCTCTTGGGATTCTTAGTCTCTGTCTCTGTCTCTCTCTGTCTCTGTCTCTCTCTCTCTCCCTCCCTCCCTCCTTTTTTCTTCCCTATTTACTTTTTTGTTCACTTGTCTGATTTTTGTTTGTTTTGTCTGGAGACATCTCATGTAGCTCAGGCTGGCCTCGAAGTCACCATCTCAATGAAGATGGCGCATTTCAGGCATGTGCCTCCATGCCTAGTAGGAATAGTTAGTGTTAACTGGAATGTTGAGAAGAGCTTATCACCACCAGGGAGATGGGCCCTAGGTATGTCTAGCGGGGATTATCTTGACTTCCTTCACTGAAGTAAGAAGATCCATCCACTGTGGGTGAAATGATTCCCCAAGCGGAGGATCTGGACTGTACAAGAGTTGAGACAGTAAGCTGAACACGAACACACACACACACACACACACACACACACACACACACACACACGCATTCACTGTTCTCATCTCTTGACTGTAGACATGATCTGAATCGTTGTCTCAAGTTCTTGCTGCTGTGACTTCTTCCACAGTGATGGACAGTAACCTTGAACTGTGATCTGAAATAAATCCTTTCCCACCACAAGTTGCCCTTACCGGAGTATTTTCTCACAGCAACAAAAAAGAAACTAAGATGCTCAGCCTCTCAGTTTCCTCAATACCCCAGACAAGGAAGAACCTTTGCCAACTGCTACAGGACTCGGGTGAGGTGCCAGACCTCAGAGACCAGACATAGGTGTCTCAGTGTGGTCCAGTGAACCAGATAACACAGCCAGGAGTTCAGGAGAGCGAGTCCATCTGAACAAGGAAAACGAGGGAGCCAGAATGTGTGGCACTTCTCATCTCGTCTCTGTGCAAAGACAGCCAGTCTGGAGCTAAGCGTCTGGGCCACGTCTCTCTGGAAAGAGAGGCCAGATGGGTGACTTCCTATTGTTCCCCACCATTCTCTTATTACTTCCCATTTTCCGCACTCTTGCTGTCCTGGATGGTAGCTCCTCGTGTGTTAGTACTGGAGCACTTAATCTTTCCAGTAGCCATGTAACAGGGGGCTCAGAATAAAGTACCATCACTAACAAGGACTCAGCTTTCCTGAGCAATAACCACATTCCATACACTGCTAAGTCCTTTGTATTTACCGTCTCATCTAACCTTTCCATCTTGAGAGGAACGACCTATGGCTACCACATCTTAGTGAAGAGGAAATGGGGGCACTTCCAACAGATAAGGTAGTCAAGGATAGATACAAAATTTGCCCTCCGTGCCAACGAGGAGGCCATTCCACTGTGCGCTGCCTCCCAGCACCTTCTCTTCGGAGGTGTTTGCCTAAGAGGGTCACTAAACACAACCAAGGAACCGGGGAGCAAAACAAAGTATGACAGAACTCTAGCTCCGTCATTGGCATTTAGCAAGAGCTCAACAGTCACCTTCTCCATCTGCAAATTGGAAATAATGAACTCACGTGACTTATGATACCTGCCCATTACAAAAATAGCACATTGTTATATCTCATCACTTCACATAGCAATCAGCAAGCCCTCGTATAGTTATCATGCCTCAACCGCCCCCACCTCCCCGTAGAAAGCAGTAGGGTCAAGCTAAGTCCACAATAGGAAAATTCAAGAAAGTGTTCTGACTGAATATCCAGTCAATGCCTCTTGGGGGTAAAAAGAGGTCTACCTGTAATTTGTGACCAAATTCTAAGCACAAAGGGAAATACGCCTTTGTTCTAATCTGGGAAGCTTGGGGTTCACCTACGCAACAGTATCACATCTCCAAGACAGGATAACGTCAGCAACCACAGAGGCACTCATGTGACCATGACGTGACAGGAGGTTATGGAAGCCACCTGAACCGCTACAGTGGCAGTGACCCGCCCTTTGTGTTGATCTAAATTTTTTTTTCAACTTTATTCTTGTAGCTATTACACCAGATTACTAGAAAACAGTGTCTAAACTCCATGCTTCCCTTTAATGGATATCTATTAAATACCTACTCTGCCAGATCTATGAATCAGTGGACATAGAAGTCACAATTGCTCAGCTGGACATACTGCTCAGTTGGTAAAATACTTGCTACACAAACGTGAGGACCCAACTTTGATTCTCAGCAACTATGTAGGAAGTTGGGTATGGTGGCACATACTTATCCCAGCAGAGATTAGGGACAGGCAGGTCCCTAGGGCTTACTGGCCAGTCAGTCTAGCAGGAGTATTGAGTCTTGGGTCCCAGTGACCCTGATTCACAAAACAAAGTAGGTGACTCCTGGAGTGGCACCCAAGGTTAGTCTCTGGCCTGTGTATGCACACACACACACACACACACACACACACACGCACACGCACACGCACACGCACACACACACACACACACACACACTCATACACATGAAGTAAATAAATAAGGTGGACAACGTCTGAGAAAGGACACCAAGGTTAACCTTTGAACTTCACACACCTCAGCACTTATATGCGTATACACCTGCATAGACACATACACACACAAAAAGACAGATAAAAAAGAAATCAGGATTCCTATCATCGGAGTGTTCCTGTGGCCAACAATGACCTCAAGGTTGTGGCCCTGAACGAATAGAAAGCAAAGATGACTAGATGACTTAGACACTTGCTTTCCGTGAACCGGGGCAAAATTGTGATAAGCTTCTCCACAAAACTCAACCTGTGTTTGTCGCCAATACTACCTTTTTACAATTGAAAATAGGTATTTTTACACACAATATATTCTGATCTCGATTTCCCCTCTCTCTGACTCTTTCCTCTGGAAGCATCCATCTCCTTGGACCAGGTACCCAGGAAAGGCATGGTTTTCAGAGTCCCTCCATCCTGCATCGTAGCCCTGGGGCAGGACCCAGGACCAGCATCACAAGGAAGGTTTCTGGGAAAACACATCGGCTCACTGATCGCAGGACGATTATCTAGGTCCGGAGCCCGAGAGGTCGCCGCTTGCACCCTCACCTGTGTCCTCTGCAGGGGCATCCAGTAGGGGAGCACTGTGGGCAGTATTCCTGCAGGAAGCCCACGGGGATGAATCAGTCGCACAGGCTGAGCAGCGGCGGTCTTTGGAGAGTGGCAGAGGGGGCGATGGAGGAGAGGGCTGTCGCCTTGGAGGAAATGCAAGAGAACTGGCGGAGTCAGGCAGGCTCTGCTTACCTCTCCCTTCTCAGGCGCTTCCTTATATGGGTACAGCAGGTACTGCAGCCCCACCTTAGTTAAACAGTAATTCCAGCCTTGGCCCCAGAGAGACAGAGACGACGGACACACAGAGAGAGGTGAACAGGCTCTCAACAGTGAGATCTCCAGATCCACCCCCGGCCCCGACTTACTTTGGACACACTAGCTGCTGATTTCTCACCTGCCCTTCCTTGGATTTTCCTTGTGTTCAGGTATTTCCTCGCCTTCATCTTTACTTTGTTTCTGAGACCTGGCGATTTTACAAAACCAGGGAGGCAGCTCTTCACGCCTCACCCTCATCCCGGAAGCTCAAGTATCTTGTCTTCCCTGCCAGGCGTGGTCACTCAGAGCAAGTCACATCTCATGTTCCTTCTGCCGAAGAACACATTTTCTTTTGACACATAAATTTCAGAATACATTAACCCCTGGGCATGGTGAGGCCCGCAGAATGGACTCCGCATCATCTCTGCCTAATGGAGTGTGGGGAAATAGATGGGGCCCGTGAAGCCCATGCCTCCTGGTTGAAGAACCCCGACACTGTGGTTCAGCCTGGGTTATAGGAAGTGATGGAAAAAACGGGCAAACAGGACAGATGTGGAAATCATTAGAAACTAACAGGAACAGTCTGTTCCCAAACTGAGAGGGGTGGGAAGACAGCAGACTGAGAACATGGAAGACTCTGACCACTTAGGAGATGTGGCTTATACCACCTATGGAGACAGAGTAGTGGGTGGGTAAGCTGGAAGGGGAGGTCATTGGCTTGACTTAAGAGTGAGTTTGAATCCATCCCTACAAGCTCTATCACATCCAGGGAAGACTCTTCCTTTAAGTCTTCATTTACCAACCTGTGAAATGAAACTTGTTTGTTTATTGTGACAGACTATTAGAACTTGCACTATCAACACAACAAACAGCACACTTCCTATAACTATGAATAAATAATGCATAAATGTGCAAGTTTGTGGTGCGTGCCCCAAATACTTCTACTGATTGAATATGTAGTCAAAAACATTTGAAAGCCATTGTATCAGAAAAAAATAAAATAAAAAAAAAATAGTGAGAAAGTACTTTAGAAAGCCCCACCCACACGATCCTATATTAAGATCGTGCCTCTGGGAAAATAATTGGCTTTCTTTTTTCTCTGGCTTACTGATGATGGTTTTGTCTTCTCTCATCTCATGAAATATTTTTTTTTCCCTAAAAGCAAGAGTCCTTGTTCCCTACAGTAGTCACTGGAGGACTGAGTTCAAAGGGAAATGTCTCCTGATGGAGTGTTCGATGCCAGCCGGTAAGTCCCTCTCACTGACAGTTGGGCTGTAAGAATCAAGAACAGTATCAGTGAGGGGGCTGTTTGCTGATTTCTTAGTATTCTCCTTTCCCTTTCCTGTACGCTCCCTAGTAGCCAGCTCCCAGTGATCTGTGTTTCTAGAGAATTCTATCCTGAAACTATAAAGTAGATGACACTTCACCATAAAATCTTAACTGGACTTCCTGCTCCGGGGGAATGTGGCAGGCTCCTCACTTCATACCCGCTGTGCCACACGGCCCATTGGTCCCCAAGTGGGAGGCACAAAGGCCACCTGTTTCCTATAAGTGGCGGCAAGGGTGTCGTGGAGGCCTGTCACAATTTGTGTGGAACAGCCACACAGATCCTGTGGTGGCCCAAGCCTGGGTTTCTGGGGTTATTTCTCTAGTGCAGATCCTGGATCACAAAGGTATGTTTTCCACAGCCTTTGGCAACACCCATCTTCTCCCTACGGTGGCTTGGCTGTCTCTGCCGTGGCTGCTCCCACTCTTGTGCTTGTGACATCTCTTGCTCTACGTCCTGTAGAAGCAACAGGCAGCAGATTCTGTGTTTTTTTTTTTTTTTTTTTTTTTTTTGTTTTGTCTTTTTTCCCCTAGTATTTGGAACCAGGAGAAAACCAGAGACGGACTGAGATTAGGAGCTACACTCTAGACTTAGCCTAGGCTATAGTCCTTGGGTCAGGTTACCTTCCCAAGAAAAGACTGCTTTCCCAAGAGCATCCTTACTTACCCATGCGAATAAACAATCCAGCGTCCAGCCAGGGCTCGGCATGCCTACACTTGAGTGTAAGAGCATAGCCTTTCTTAGCTCCCTCTCCTGCCTTCTCCTTATCTTCTTCCTCTAGCCCTACATTGGACTTTCCCTCTTTGCCCCTTTATCATATTTTAATGAGAAAGATATACATAACTGACAGCCACAGGACAGCCATATAGTGTGACTTGATATGGGTGCTGTGATAGACATTAGCACATTCAGTGAGGTTCCCAAACAGGGAAGATTCCTTGAGCTAGGAGTCGTGGGAGGCCTCTCTCTCGAGTGGAGGATGCAGGAGGGCTGCTGGAGAGATGGGCATAGTGAAGTATGTGCAAAGCAGGGTGGTCAGAAAAAAAAAATCCTGTATCTACTTGGTGACTTTTCTCCATATGAAGCCCAGAACACCAGCATCCAGGTTAGGAAACGGTACTATGGGGACTGGGCATGGTGATGTATACCTTTAATCCCAGTATGTGGAAGGGCAGAAGGAGGTGGATCTTTGTGAGTTCAAGACTAGCCTGGTCTACATAGCTAGTTCCAGGACAGCCAGAACTATATAACAGAGAGATCCTGTAAAAAAAGAAAAAATGAAGGTAGGAAGGAAAGAAAAAAAGAAAGAAGGAAGGAAGGAAGGAAGGAAAGAAAGAAAAGAAAAAAGAAAGAATGAGCACTGTAAGTACCCAGAAGTCTGCTGGGCAGACTGGTCCTTCAGGGCACCCCAAGGTAAAATGCTCGTGGTCTGGTTGGTTCTGATAAGCCCTATTCTGTTTTCCTTAATAAGAAAACAACAATGTTGATTTAGGGGATTAAAAATGTCTATGTAAAACTATGACAAAGGGCACCATTTGACAGGGTAAACAGGTTTCCAGAGCACTTGCCACACAGCTAACAGGATCATCTGACAGATTTCATGTGGGCAGAAATGACAAAGTTAAAAAAAAAAAAAAAAAAAAAAGGCGAGTTGATTTTTGTTAGTGCAGAAACATGAAGAGACAGAACTCAGCCTGCTGCATTTACGGCAGCCCCAAGCCAGGCCCAGGTCTGTTCCACTCTGACGTCTTACCATGCCTTGCAGGACAGGACCCCACTGACAACCAAGAGTCTCATTTGCATGTCCAGCGGAGCAGAAATGAGAGTGTGCACAAATGGGTGGGTTTGGGGAGCATCTGGGACAGAAGGATGCAGAGGAAGTTTTCAAATGGCCTGACGGCTCTTACTTCCTTTGTTTCTTTCTTTCTATAGGCATCTATATAGAATTTAGAAATTCCCAGCATTCCAGTCTGCAGCTACACCTGAGACACGCCCTCTCTCAGGATTCACACCTTATCACTCTTCCATGTTTCTGGTGAGTCCCGGGGTGTCTTCTGGGTCTCCATAGTGCATGTTCTCTTACCTCTGGGGTACTAGGGAAGGCCTGCTTTGCCCCCAGGTGAAGGTCTCTGAACCACTTACTTTCTCTAGCCCTAGTTCCTCCTCTTCCAGATAGCTTCTGAACTTTCTTCCCTACAATCACTGCTGCCACGATATGCCTGTGGGGGTGTAGGGTGTAATGAGATTCTCAACCTTCTAGCTGGAACTTGTTCCCAGTATTAGCACTCTTTTTTCTGAGTCTCTTACATACATACATCCTTTCCTTGATGTTTTAAACAATCTTCAGATTAAATACTGTTCTATATCCCACCCTTCCCACTTAAAACTCAATCACAGGCATGCTTTGATGCCACTGTCTAATCCTCAGAACCGCAGGTCCTAATGACTAAGTAGTATTTCAGTGCGTGAATATTGTTCTGTGATAAAGGGGACATATAAATAAACAGTCTAGCTCCACCTACTTTCAGATGATTTTAAAAATTAGGAATTATGGTGGTCCACAGCTATGGGATGCATCTTCATCTCCCCTTGCCTTGTGTGTGGGGGATGATATCCATATAAAACAAAGGAAAAGATGTAGGTGGAAGTTTCTGCAAGCCGCTCCCAAGTAACCACACAGAGGCTTAATATTAATTACAAATTCTGGGCTAATAACTCAGGCTTGTTACTACCTAACTCTTACTTTTAAATGAACCCATATTCCTTATCTATGCTTTGCAACATGGCTTGGTACCTTTTCTCACTCAGTGTGGCATGCCTATCTTGACTTCTCTCTGTGTCTGGTGGCGACTCCAGACTCCGCCCTCCTCCTTCCCAGCATTCTCAGTTTGGCTCTCCCACCTAACCTTATTCTGTTTTCAGCCACTGGCCAGTTAGCTTCTTTATTAAAACAATCACAGTGACATATATTCACACAGTGTATAGGAATATTCCACAAAAAGAGGATGTTAATTTGAGAGAAAGTACAAGGGAGAATTTATGTATATAACAAATAAAACAGAAGAGGCTGTGAATTTGAGAAAGAACAAGAGTCACATAGTAAGGAAGGGAAGGGAGAAAATGATACACTTTAATTTATTACAATTACATTATAAATTACACTATATTATAATTATGTTATATGATTATATTATATTATACTTTGATTACACTTAATTTTAAAACATTTCTTGAAAAAAAGGAAGATATGTTCTGTTCTCAGGTCTGGTTACCGCCACACTGACTCCATTCCTTGGAAACGCTGATTTCCACACATGACCCTTCATCTGGTCCTCATACAAATGCCTCTACCTCTCCAATGATGGACAGAGTGACACCTGAGATATTAACATACCTTCCTCCCCATGAGCATCCTCCATAAAACCCATCTCCTCTCTCCCCAAAACTCATCTTTGGGCATTGGTTTTTACACGCTTCAAGCTTCCTGGCTCACGCCTGGTGACACTAACTCATCTCGCATTTCTGAACATTTAAATCATTTCTGAATTTTATCCACTACAAATCTGCTTGCATAACTCTTCCTAAATGGTGGTGATGGATTTCTTATGCTAAACTCCGAAAAGTGAAAGAGTTATGAACACTATAAATGGTTTTGATTTCTGTTTAAAATTAAATTTGTGTGTGTGTGTTTACATAGTATAATGCCTGTGTGGAGGTCAGAGGAACCCTTTAAGAGTTTTTCTTCTCTCTTTCTACCATGACAGTTCAAGGCAGCAAGTCCTTTTCCCACTGAGCCATCTCACGGACCCAAGATTTTGGTTTCTACAGTCTTCAAAAGACTATTCCCTTCTAGCACGGCACAAGGGCCGTTCTTTTATCCTTAGGGTTTTTCTGATGTAGCTCTGTATGTGTGGTATATCCACACATATATATTCATGTTTCATGTGTGTGGACAATGTGT